CTACAGCGGTTGTGATGAACGAGCCTCCATCAACGCGCCTTCATACAGAATCCCGAGCTGAAATTTCTATATTTCAAGGCGTTGGACGATGGATGACTGTCAGTTTAGCGGTTGGAAAGCCAGATTGTTCTCTTCACTGTGGGTACTGCGGCATGTCGACGTTATCGTATACAGACTTGGTCGAGTTTGAGCTCTTGATTTCTCTCTCGCTCGATGCTGTGGCTACCCAGCAGGTCTTCGAGAAACGAGGGCGTCCAGATTGTCGGTTCACGAGCTGCTCAACGAGAATGTGTTCAGGGGCCAGGTTTCTGACGGTGCGTGGCTCAATTACGTGACGAGAGAGATATGGATACAATTTGAGGGACTCATATTGCTCCTGCGTTGACTTCACCGTGAAGCCCGAACACCTTGATGTAACACCGTGATCAGCTCCGGCATGGTTCAGTTTGTTCACTTGAATACATCTGATACTCGTAGTCTCTGCTCTCTATTTCTCCAAACTGAAACCCCTAGACAAGTTTGACGGTGCTATTGTAAAAAGCCCACTACATCATCGGAAGGGATGAAACGTAACCAATCGGGTATTTTTCTGTGCGATGTGATGAACGACGAAGTATGCGACCCTGTAGACCCTGTAAATGTAGCACATCTCTCAGCTCTATCCTGTAAAAAGCCCGCTCGTCCAAAAACATGCTGTCTTTTTTTTTTTGACCCTTAACGGTCAAAACATTACTCCATCATCTCAAGTAGAGTCATTAGTATCCAGCCGGCTCTGGGTTGACTGGGATAGCCGGGGCGTCGAGGTTCGCGCGGCACTGCTGCTTCCAGTTCTTGGGGGTGTACTTGTCGACGATCGACTTGAAGGCGGCCTGCGTGACATGTCAGAATTGCGCATGCTGGGGCCGTTAGGGTCCGATCGGCAGTGCTTACCAAGGTGCAAAACGACTCGTCACCTTCAAGATGGCTTCCAGTAGGCTTGCAGCCGGGGATAGTGACGGGCTCATCGTTGTATCTCAGTCTTACGTAGTATCCGTCCAGCTGGCTCTTCTCAGCTTCAGTGAGGTCGGAGATGGGCTTACGACCGATCCCCGGCGGCGCGGTGCCGGGAGACGGAGTGCTGGAGCGGCCAAACGAGAACCATGAATTGAACCAGCTGCCTGTTTGAGGGGCGGCAGCAGCTGGCACAGTGGTTGACGTCTCTACGGCCGGGATCTTTGAATCTCGGAACAGTTCAATGGCGATGTGACTGGTGAAAGGGGGCCACTTGTCATTGCCGAAAGCACCCAGACTGGACAATACACCTGCCAAGGTGGTATCATGGCAACCACTCATGCCAAATCTTACGGGATGGGGAGCGGCGCCGGAATTCTTGATTTCGTAGTCACCGTCGGCCGGAGTGTGCTCCACGCTGCCGACCATGCGAGCCACAACATCGCCCATCAAACCACCGATGCCCAGGGTACGGTACTCCTGACTCTCCTTGTATCCGCTATACCACTCCTCGACACCAATCTTCTCTATGATTGAAATGACCTTGGCATCGTAGAACTCGGAGGGAAGCTTCGTCTGTGGACCATGGGCACGCGTGGCATTGATACTGTCCATGACACCACTCAATCGAGGACGGGAGTCGACGGCAACTCGCGAGCCTGGCGGCATCCACTTGCCGAGCTTCTTGTTCAGGTATTCCATCTCTGGCGTTTCGTTCCACCGGTCGGCAGTACGCTGGGCAAACGCGCGGGAAAGGACGGCAAAACGACGGCACATGCCATCGTTGGGGAAGAGAGTTTCGTCTGGCTGTAGTCGGGTGATGATGGCGAGGGTCGGCAGGTCGGGGGCTCGGTTCTGAGTTGGGTAGAGGCCGGTAAGAGCCTGTTGCAGCGATTCCAGAGCTCTGGGGACAGGAGTCGAGCGCAAGTAGAGGGAATCTGCGTTGGTGAGGTCCGCGGGGAGGAAGCCAAGGCGATCGACGTAGAGGTTGCGGAAACGACGGCCTAAGTTGCGGGTGGTCTCCCGACCGCGGTCGGTGAGCATGCCATGGTCACATATATCGTCGAGCTCGGCGTTGGGGCCGGCGGCGATGATGGGGCTATCATCTGTAGGATTGAAGGTCTCGAGGCGGCGCTTCCAGTCAAGATAAGAATACTCTCCCGTGTCGGGATCCAGGACGGCGGAGCGGAGGTGGCGGACGACGCGGCAGTAGGGCCAGTACGGAGGCAGGCCGGTTTCCTGGAAGCGTGGGGTGACAGGCGTGCGCTCACCGTGGCGCAGGAGGATCTGCACGAGCTGGAGCTTGAGCTGGGGAGGGTACAACTGGCGCAGCTCGGCGTCAGTGTAGGGATTGCGAGGCTCAAGGGTCGTCATAGTTTCGGAGCTAACGAGACAACGCGAGGAGTTGAGTGTTTGGAGAGGAATGCTTGTGACACTGACGCTCGCACGGGGGAGGTCGGGGGGAGGAGGAAAAGGGAAGAGCAAAGGTAAAGGTGGTGAAAGACACAGCTCAGCTCAGCTTAGCAAACAGAGTAATTCATGGGATGAGACGACGGAAGTGGAAAGAAGCCGGCGAAGCTCAGAACGCGCAGTCGCTACAAGCAGATGTGTTTCTTTTGTTCCGCGAGGCAATCGCTTGGACCAGCCCCCTTGTGTGACACTGAGGTGGTACCTTGCGTGTGAGAAACAATAGAAGGCCGTAGACTGTAGGTAGGACGGAGGATAGGGATATGCGGGGCAGGGATTCTGACGTTAGGTGGGAGCAAAGCCAAGCTACCTGACCTACCTACGTAACCTATGTTGTGGTTGCGGGTGAGGCTTTTGGCCCCGCGGCTATGCTAGCAGCAAGCACCTTGGCGTACCTACCTTACGTTCGCAGTACCTCAGCTACCTTACATAGGTAGGTACGTGTACGGAAGCTAGTGGGACGATAAGCTCCTTATCGGCAGAGCCAGTCCACCACGTAAAGTAGGTAAACATGGGAAGGCACCTAACTACCTAGTATGCGCTAGGAACCAAGGTACCTCACCGCCGCACTGCAGCTGGCTCCGCGGGTAAGTATCGTCCATCCTACGCCGCACATCGGCCTAAATCGCAATCTGGAATCACGGTAGAACGCCCAAGCAAACTCATCTGAAGTTGGGGGCAGGTTGCGAGTTTGGGCTTTTGTCAGGCCATAGCCTGAGCTTACCTTTTGACGGCGGCACCTAATACTTGCTTCTGCCCACCACACGTCTCGAGCAATCGGGTCTGACCCGCGAGATTGCGTTCCCGACTGCAGCATTCCCTGTTATGCATTTGTCTTTACCCATGTGAAAGTCCATCCACAGCCTTGTATTCTGTCTATGTATATTTCGCATTGCTGCGTCTGTATGCTATTTCCTTGTTCATATACCCTCTCTTGCCGTAAGCATCGCCTGCAGCCAGTAAGATCGACCAAGCTGCCTGATCGAAGCTGATCGACAGTCAGGAATACCGGGTCATCGGGTGCCGCAATCGCCGTCGATGCCGGCCGAGGAGCGGGCAAATGGGCCAATGACGTCTTCGCTAATTGGCGGCCGGGTCTACTCGAGCATGCCTAGCGCGTGTGTAGCATGTGCCACTGACATAATCAGAACGAGAGAAAAGCAACGAGGACTTGGAGCAATGCCGCTGACTACACACAAACAAACACGAGTCGCTTCACCGCGAGACACAATCCCATGCGATTGGAGCGGCCGCCGCAGCGCAGGTGCAACGGTAGAGAATTCGACTCGAAACAAAACGCAAAAGATGGAATCTCTTCAAGAGGAAAGAAAAAGACCGGGCGACAAGACAGGATCCATCCGTGCTGGGCAAGGCGGAGTCTTCCATGCCTATGATAGGCGGTGGACACTTGGCGGAGCACACAGAGGGCGACTCGGTGAGCAGTGTCAAACGGGGGCAGAGGGGCAGAGACGCAGACGCAGACGCACACAGAGAGAAACATCAGTGAGATGAACGCACAGCGATCCCTGGCCTAGCCGCATTTGAATTTGGCAGCCTGAGCCTGAGCCCCCAAAGAGCCCCCCTCGGACCGGAGATCGTTACGATGTACGACCGACGAAGGATCCCCCTGCCCTCGGGCGAGTGAGGCGCAGCTCTGTGCATATCAGACTTTGGCTCTTCGCTGCCGTAGTCCCTACACGGCGGGACGACATCAGCAAGCTTCCCTTCCATGCTCAAGGGCCGCCTTAGCTACGCGCTACCGCCGAGTACGTAGCCCGTCAACTCTTTGCGCTGCAAGGTACATTTCTTGGTGCTGCGACCAAGCTGTACGTCAAAGTAACTGTCTGTCTTCTCGTCCTGCCCTCGTTCTACTATGTAGTAAAGCAATACCGATTCGGGGGATAGCTGGCAGCCACACACGTGGATTACCTTTGCTGGGCAGCCTGATGTCCTGATCCAGCTCCAGTCGTGCGCTTGTGCCAGTGCCGGTGCCAGATAGTAGACGGTGAGTTAGTTACCTCAGGGTGTGGTAGGCGCGATTCAAGGCCATTCCTTATATAATTAAACTTGGTCCTTCCCTGCCCCCAGGGTCGCAGTCGTCATTGCCAAATCAATCGTCCAGATCCAGATTTCCAAGGGGGGTTGCATTGAACCGCCTTCTTTCAACCCCAAAACATCTTCACCAACTTTACCCAACCTACGAAACCCAACACGAACCTCAGCTGGGGATTCCTCCCGTGGCGACCACTTTTCCTTTTCTTTCGGGCCGCCTCAAATCATCCTCTAACCCGGCTTCTCACCCAGATCTTGCGCTTTCTTTCCATCTGACGTATTCGGTTTTCGAGCATTCTTTTGGGTATTCATCCGCATCTGCCTCGGTGCTGCGTTGGCTGGTGTCCACTCTTGCTCCTCCCCAAAAAGGACACTGAGCATGTGCTTGAACTAACCCCGGAACGCCCGGCTCTACAAATCTGCGACTTATATAAACAACCCTGCGGCCCGACGATTCTCGTACTCTTTCCGCGTATTGCAGGAATCTCACGATGGTTGCCATGTCGCAGAAGGAGAATCTCACCTTAAGGATCAATTCGCCTCCAGGTCCCATAGAAAGGGTCCCGTCTGAGGATCCTGTCTATGGCGAAGATGATCAAGATGGCGCCCAGTCTGTCATGCAGCCCGCCTTGAACGCCGTCGCCACTCGCCTCACCTTACCAAAAACATCCGCGGCTGAAAAGGCTGCGGCTATGGAAACCAGGCAAAGTCGCCGAGCTTTTGATTCTGGTCTTCCTAGCAGTGAAGATTCTTCGAGCTCTCCAGAATTGACGCCTTTCCCGGACGAGATACCCACCAATTTCGAACCCGAATCCGACCTGCAAATCTCTCCGTCATCACCAGCTCGACGACCAACGCCCAAACTTCAAAAGCCTAGACCTGCTCCGAGAGAGAGGGATCTGCCCTCACCGTGGCAATCGAGTCCTCGAAATGCCTTTTTTGGTAGTGGAGACGGCGCGGGTCATAAGAGTGCCCTGGAGTCGATATCCTTCGGCCAAACGAGACATAAACGATCGTCGTCTACCGGAGCCGACGCGTTGAAACGTTTCTCAAAAGCACTGCCCTCATTTCCAGCGCCGTCGTCGATCTTCAATTCCTTCTCCTTCTTCACGGCCGCTGCCGAGAAAGCGGAGCCAAAAGTCACATCAACTCCACGCAAATCAACTTTTCCTCAATCGAGTAGACCTCATAGTAACACGAGTCCTGAATCTCATCTAGCCGCTCGCCCTCGCCAGGCTGAAGCCTCAAAGGATGCTGCGAATGTTAGTCGGGCTTCTGTCTCATCGTCTCGACCGCCTACAGCCCGACCTCGTGCCCTCCGAAGGGTCACCTCCGATGATTCGCTCTTGTATCACTCTCTATCTCGCACATCCTCCATCGGTGACGACGACGGAAGATTTGAACACGTACGAGAGATGGCCAACGTAAGGATGAAGGCGATCAAAGACAGTTTACCCGAAAGACCGACTTTCAAAATGCTTAGTCTGCCCAAACTCCCGTCATCACTAAGGCTGAACGAAGATGCGGTGAATAGTACAACATCCATCCCGAAACTTCAACCGGATGACCCTGCAATTTTGGACAAAGTACTAGAGAAGCTCACGGGCGACATCGTTATTCTAGGCGGCTATCGTGGCTCAATTTTGCGGTCAGCTGAGCCACCGCACCAGCAGCTCTGGGCTCCCGTCAAAATTGGGCTGAACATGAGAAAGGTTGACCTTGAGGTTGGCCTTGACCACGAAGATGAGGAGAACATGGAAGAGCGTATCATTCCCTCGGGAATGCTTCAGAATATTGGTCCGATCGACATCTCGCGGAAACTGTTCAGGAAAGTTGCGGCCTGCGAGAACGTTCGTAAAGGAAAGCTGCGACTGTGGGACTACGGTTACGATTGGAGACTCAGCCCTCATCTACTGTCACGAAAGATGGTCGAATTCATGGAAAAGCTTCCATCCAACCAGCCGGACTCACAAGAGCCAAGGGGCGCGCTTGTCTTGGCACATAGTCTTGGCGGCCTCATCACACGCCATGCTGTCAACCAGAGGCCAGAGCTTTTTTCGGGTGTCGTCTACGTCGGTACACCACAAAGATGCATCAATGTCCTAGGGCCTCTCAGGGATGGCGATTCGGTTTTGCTGAACGAGAAGATTTTGACTGCACAGGTCAACTTTTCAATAAGGACCTCGTTTGTCTTCCTTCCCGAAGATGGCGCCTGTTTCGCCAACAAAGAAACCAAAGAGGAATATCGTGTCGACTTTCACGATGTCAATACATGGATCAAGTACCGCCTCTCGCCATGTATAGAGGCAACATTACCACCGCTCAACCCGAAGGAGAGCCCATACAATTTCAGCTCCCTTCTTCCGCTTCGCAGTCGCGCCTCGAGCGAGAAAAAGAACAGCCACGTCCCACCATCTTCCTTGGCTGATGCTGCTCGTCGAGTCGAACTTGCACGAGAGGGCAATCTCAACCCCCAGATTGACGGAAACGTTCACCACCAAGATTCTCATCAGAATACACCGTCGCCCTTCACCAAGGGCGTTCCAGGGACCCCAACGCCGCCCAACCGGGCCAGGAATCTTGCTTACCTTGAGCGCACCCTTGCGGAGGTGAAAAGGTTCCGCGCCGAGACACAGTATAAGCCGGCGCATACGGAAGCTAACGTCTACCCACCTCTCGGCGTTATCTACAGTAAGGAGATTCCAACCGTCTCTGCGGTCAACGTTAGCAGTCGTGAGGCTATTGCCCACGCCGACGCCTACGACAACCTCATCTTTGGTGCCGGAGACGGTGTCGTTCTAAGTCGTGAGGCTCAGCTGCCAGAGGGATACGAGCTGGTGAACAACGGTCTGGTACGCACCAGGCGCGGCCACTTGACCATGCTCGGCGACCTGCCAGCCGTGGGCAAGGCACTAGAGGCTGTCATTCGGGGCCGACGAAAAGGTATCGGGATGGGCCATGCGGTTCAGAAGGCCAAGGCGGGCAGGAGTCGCGTCGCCGAAGCTTAGCAAGCCATCGCTAGCCCCTTTAGACGATGCTTCGCATCTGATGGAACGGAGTTACAGATAGAAAATGAGTGATCAACCACCTTTGCACCTTTGCAGCTGTACCATAGGATAACCAACGAACAAAACATGCATACGATTAATGTCGCTACCCTGCACGCACTCAATCCCTCAATCTGTAAATCACCAAACATGACCTTCCATCACTAAGAGAGAGAGAGGAAACGAGCTGCCTTGTTAAGCACGATGACGAGGAAACCCGCAGCAACGACTGCCAGACGTCCGACCGGGTGCTGCCTGAATGCATGCGCATGCGAGGCCAAAGTATATCGAGACGGGATTTCCCACCGTGAGACATGTACCGAAGGAACGGAGATATTGGACGCACGCACGCTGATAAGGTGATGTCGGCAGGATCACAGAGAGCCGCAGCTAGCAGTGGCACGAGTGCATGGCATTTCCTGAGTGAAGCAAATTTAGACCCATGTGGTCGTGGTTAGTCAGTACCCTACCCTCCCTTCCTTCTCTCTTACAAATACACATGCCCTGAACTGTTCCCATAGTTCGGAAAAAAAGGCCAGTGCTAAAACGCCCACAAAGGAAACCTCCCATTCCTATTTCTCAACATGTCCAGAGCGCATAAGCCTCATACTCATTATCAATACTCGAAATCGTCATCCACAGCAGGCCCCTTGCTCTTGGTGACGCTCTCCTGCTTGCGGTACATCTCTGCCACCTGGCGACTGGAGGTAGCCTCGTCGGGCTTCTTGTCGTCGCGCACCTTGATGAATCGCGGGAAACGCAGTGAGATGCCCTTCTCGCCGGCCGGATCAACGCCCTCCTTGCACCCGGCCTTGTAGCGCGGACTGAGCGTCAAGTCAGCCGTCTTAACCTCCCAGACGTAACGAGGCTCGAACCAAACGTCGGGCTGGTGCTGTCCGCCCGAGGAGTGCGCATAGAATGGCTTCGGCCGGTCAATGACAATGTCTGAGAGCTGCTTGTGCAGCTCCTCGAGGACCGCTTCGGAGAATCCCGTGCCGATGTTGCACACGGTTTCATACGAATCGGACGATGGGTTGTAGCACGCAAGGAGGAACGCGCCGTAGACCGACGTGCGCTTGCCCTTTCCGTGATACGCGCCCAACACAACGAGATCGAGCGAGTCGCCGATGCCGCTGAGGTAATCCTTCTTAATCTAGAAAAGAAGAAGAGCGGTTAGAATATCGGCGTAAATGGTTGCGAGGGCAAGCAAGAAAACGAGGGATCATAGCGGCACTCACCTTGAGCCAGTTGCGACTTCTCTTGCTGGGCTCGTACCCACTCTCCGAACCGTCCAACATCTTGACCATGAGACCTTCGCAGGACGCCTTGACACTCTCGTCAAGGAACTCTTGGATTTGCTCGAGCTCTTGTCCGTTCATGTGTGTTGCTAAAGCAAACTCACCCTCGACCGGCGCAAAGGCGTTCTCGAGAAGCTCACGGCGCTTGCGAAGGGGCTTCTCAACGATAGCTTCGCCATTGAGATAAAGCAAGTCGAAAGCAAACACACAAACCTTGACCTTGACGTCCTCGATCTTGACATCTTTCTTCTTGCGGGTCATTAGTTGTTGGAAAGGAAGAACCTTCTTCTCGTCAACATCCCAGGCAACAGTCTCGCAGTCCAGGACGAAGCTTTTGGTGTCGGGCTTGACCCAAGTGTGCAGCTTTGCTAGGATATCCGGGTACTTTTTGGAAAGATCCTCAGAGTTCCTCGAGAAGATTGAAGCGACACCGTCTGCCGCAGCTTGCGTAGCTCCCGGCAAGGACTGACTAAGTTCCTCATCCGCATTCTTCGCCACATAGTGTATCTGCGCTCTTTCACCGTCGTACTTGTATTCGCAAGTAAACGTTTGGTTCTCGAAGCGATCAAGGACCTCAGTAATTGCCTTTGTTGGTTTCGCCAACATGGGCTTCAGGGGCACGCCAGGCTTGAGCTTGCAATGCTCGCGGAGATTCATGATGCCATGCTCCACCATTGCTGGGATGATGACATCGTAGCTGGGAAGCTCGCTGCGCACAGTCAGTACCTTCTTGGCAAAAGAACCAGATCAAACATACCTGTAGACTTGCTTGAGGACAGCCTCCGCTTGCTCGACGTCTGTTGTCTTTGGGGACTGGCCTTTGGCGTCTGCTTCGTGGTACGTTACGGCTTGGGCCAATGAGACCAAGACTGTCTTCTCTGCCAGACCCAGACGGAGCTTGCCCTCGAGGAAGCGAACGAGATACTTGGCTTCGCTGGGGCCTCCCTTGTCTTTGGTGATGTCCACCTTTCCGATGTTGTGGGCGTCAGCTGCCGACAGCAGCTTCTTGATCGAATCCACCTTGCGGCCTTGAGCTCCGTTGCCAGAAACTGTGGCGATGCCCATCAAGCCCTTGTGAACTCCCCTGATCGTCAGAGCCTTAGGCTTGAACATGGTTGGCTGAGTCGATCTACTCTTGACTGCGACGAGGCCAAGATCTCCAATCTCCTTCTGGTCTTGCTTGATGATAGCAAGACTGCGTCCTGTAGTCTCACCAATGGCCTTCATGATGAGCGACTCGCCGATGCCAAGCTCTATACCAGCATAGTCAGGGGCCAGCTTGTTGATCATGAGAAGAACAGTGGGTAGGAGATCATCGGGCGTCAGACGCATGACTTGGCGGAGAAAGAGTGAGCAATGAGCCATAATCTCAAGCCGCTTGGTTGTCATCTCAATGAGAGAGAAGGTCTTGCAGAGCGCCGCATAGGGAACCGGTTCTCCTGGCTTCCAGTCGGGATAAGGGTCCTTGGTCGCTGTCTTGAGCTTCATCTGCACCTGCTCCAGGGTTTTCTTAGCGGCCTTGGACTTGACTTCTTCCTCTTCGTCCTCAATCTCTTCGGCCTCAGAAGCGGAAGCTGTTGACTCCTCATCTTCATCCTTGGTAGCGATCGCTGGAGAAGGAGACTTGGACTTTTTCGCAGGCGCCGTAGCCGGTGACTTTGTGGATTTGGTGTCCGCCGCCTTCTTCTCTACCTTCTTTGGGCCGCTCTTCTGTGCCTTTGTAGATTTAGGTGACTTTGCTGGGGCCTCGTCCATCACGTCATCTTCGTCTTCCTCGTCTACAACACGCTGACGGCCCCTTCGTGGCCTCTTAGAGACAGGCGCATCGTCTTCCTCTTCAACGTCTTCGTTCTTAACTTCAGGGCTCGACGGCTTGGCTGTGGGACTCGGGCTTCGGGTACGTTTCCTCGCCTCTGTAGGTGATCTGTGAGCATTCCGTACAATTGAGTAGTCTGAGGCGGGCATACTAGATGCATCCTTCTTGTCCTTCGTATCATCAACGGGAGTGACCTCCTCCTTGGCCTCCTTCTTTGGAGCTGCTTTGGTGGCAAAGCTCAGCTTGCTTTGCTGTGGCTCCGGCTTAGAGCCCTTCGCCCCGAAGAACTTGCTATTAAACAAGTCAGTACGGTGTCGTTTGAAAGGACCCCAAGACGCATTGGAGAAGCAGCCTGCGGTATCCATAGTGATCCCGAGAACTTCGCCCTTGTACACACCCCAATGTCGTCTGCGAGGGCTTGACGTACCCCAGTGTGGCCTGCTTCGGCGCCATTGTACGAGTCGATTGACGGTAAACAGTAGAGGATCTGTGGTGGCAACTGAAGAGCGCCCTGGTCGTGGTCCTGTGAGGAATTGGACTTCTTAAAAGGCGGGCGCAGGCGAAGGCAGACATAAGTTTGGCGTGCGACGATGGGGAAGCTCGACGCGCCGCTCCAGGCAGAAACGCGTTAATTAGCACAGAAGGTGCGCCGGCGTAGGGACCTGCCAGTGACGCGAAAAGGACCCGTTCAGTGCATGGACCCGCTTTGAAGACCGGCAGATTGCCGGATTGGGCAGTTGGCTTATGCACCAATTGAAGTTTCGATCTCAACTTTCACTGACGTTGAAAGCATGGTATACGAGATTGCTGGCAAATATTGTGGTGCTACAAGTCACTAGACGTTGAATACATATTGTTTACGCTTCATAATGCATAACCGAACACTAGAGATGTCGAACCAGGTGGATATCTTCAGTCCCCGGCCGTGTTCAGATTGTGACCACTTCACCCTTTCTAGCTAGCTGGTATTGTACAATATGACAGGTTGGTTAGGAGACAATTATTCTTTCATGCGGGAAATTTAGTTGAAGTAGAAAGACTCCTCCGCGGTGCGTCCGCGGATGTACTTGGGCTCGGTGCCCTTGACGTAGATGTCCTCGTACAGGATCTGGGGAGTGGTCTGAGGGACGGCCATAGCCTCGGCGGCGGCAACCTCCTCGTTGACGAAGCTGCGGGCCTCCTTGTCAATGGCCTTGAGCTCATCCTCAGTAACAACCTCCCAGTCCATGATCTTCTGCTTCAGTCCGGCAATAGGGTCGTTGGTGGAGCGCATGCGCTGGATCTCCTCACGGGTGCGGTAGGTGGTTCCGGGGTCGGACATGGAGTGACCACCGTAGCGGTAGGTAACGTACTCCATGACGAGAGGTCCGTTCTCGGCGACAGCCCAGTCCTTTCCGTACTTGACGGCGGCCTTGACAGCGAGGACGTCCATGCCGTTGATCTTCAGACCAGGGATGTACTGACCACGCTTGTAGTAGTCGGTAAGGGCGGAAGAGCGAGCAGCAGCGGTACCCATGCCGTACTTGTTGTCTGATTTACACGTCAGTCGGGCTGGTTCACCCTAGTTTTGGCGGAAAACTTACTCTCGCATCCGAAGAGGGCGGGCAGACCCCAAAGCTTGGCCATGTTGAAAGCCTCAAAGACCTGACCCTGGTTGCTAGCACCGTCGCCGTACAGAATAACGGAGGCGTTCTTGCGGCCGGTGTACTTGTGGGCGAAGGCAAGACCAGCACCGACGGGAACCTGAGCACCGACGATACCGTTGCCACCGTAGAAGCCCTTGGCAAACATGTGCATGGAACCTCCCTTGCCGTAGGCGATACCCTCACGGCGACCGAGAAGCTCGCCGATAATGGAGCGGATAGTGCCGCCGCGCATGTAAGCGAAACCGTGGCAACGGTAGGAAGTGATAACGTCGTCTTCGCGGGTCAGAGCGTGCTCGATACCAACGGCAACGGCCTCCTGGCCGGTAGACAAGTGGCAGAAACCACGAATCTTCTTCTCCTTGTACAATCGGTCGGCAGCCATCTCCATTTGTCTACACGTGGGGTTAGTTGAGGGGTCGGATCGGCGCAGATTTCGCAGTTGGATAGACACCACCGTACCTGACAACAACCATGTCCTTGTACATCTGCTTCAACTCGTTCTTAGTAACCTCGAGGGTGTATGGCGGGGGGTCGAGCTCATAGGTCTCGAAGCTCTCGTCGCTCAAGGTAACCTTGAAAGGCTCATCGTCGGACTAAAACAGGCAAAAATCAGCCATTTTGCACCAGTGAGTGAATCGTGATCGGTGCAGGCGGTGGTATTCCGAGAGTTCGTGACCGGATATGGCGGCGGGAAAAGAGCGCAAACTGACCTTGGGGAGGCTCTTCTCCAGGGTCGCAGAAGCGGCATTGGTGGTGACGGACCGGGATGCAGGAACGAAAGAGGCGGGAGCGCGAGTGCGCAGAGGCACCGCACGGTTTAACCTGATCGCGCGGGAGAACATCGTGGGGGTTGAGATGATGGAGCCTCCGGTCGATGAGGATGTGAAGGGTTCGGGGGAAGGAGGGTGATAACAAATTATTTGGCCGCTGGAGCTCCGAAAAATCGCGGCGTTGGTTGGGAAGGGAGCTGCTGCTTGTTGAAAACTACTAGTCCCAGATGGGCTTAGCTTGTAAGCACGTGACCTTCAACGGGAGTTTTGCAAGTGCGCCTGCTCGAAAGGCACCCTGCCACTTCGTTTCGAGCGGTGGCACTGTCCTCAAATTCTGGTGGGCCCCGGCTTGCAACGGTCGGTCTTTTTCTCGTTCGGCGCTCATAGAGTTGAGCGACTATCGGAGATAGCAAGGGAATTGAGGGCAATCTTTCCCAATCGCCGCAAAATCCCCCCGTCTAACTTGCTGAGGCGAGAACTCAATTCGTCCAGCTGGCGCTCCCGACGGACATCCCACCAGCGCGCTTGTTAGTCCGTTGCTCGCCGAGCCGACGACAATACTCCGCATGCACTCTGCTGTTTTGGGCACCTAAGTTGTGTTGAGGCTACATACATTCAATGCGCAGCATCGAGTTTCGACTGCAACTCCTGAACTACTCACCGGATCTTTTATTGAGCGAACTCTTTCGCCTCACAGTAACCACAGAGCAATCTCGTTAAGAAGTTTCAGTCTGAGGCAGTATATAGCTCTACTATATACTCTACCGTGGGGTATATTAATAAAGCAGCCGGCGTGGCCGCCGAGGCAATGCTGAGCAACTTCAGCGCCTCGCAATCGTGAGTCCCGCCCATCGTCCGTCCCTGAAGACCCCAAAGCGAAGAACCCCACCCCCAAAATGCTGTGAATGGCATGCTCGTCTTCCTTCCAAATGCATGAATGCTTCCTGACCAACGCCGAACGACGCCATCCTTCTTGGTTGGACGGCTGTCATAGTCTATGCTGAGAAGCGCGTCATCAATAAAAATAAAATAAAAACCTTCTGAAAAAGCGGTACTGATGCTGTGGCATCATGGTCCACCGACGACTCGAAGATGCCCTGGTAGTAGACGCCGCCAATGCGTATGTACCCACTGTAATGTTTGTAGTGCGATAACCATCGCAGCTTGCAAGAACCCTCGACCATGATCCGTCCGCGGAAGGTTCCTCTAGTCGTCATGGAAAAACGTCTTGTTACCGCCTTGAAGAGGGGCGGTAGAAGGACCGGCGTCCCTCATATCTACATCCTGGCTTCCCGCGGCTTCCCGGCTTGGGCCGGCGACAGTCGGCTGCTGTTGTCTAAAATCGAGTTGCATGGCGCTCATTGGTCGATTCGGAGTTTCTTGCAAAACGCGTTGCTGAAGGGAGAGCGGACGGTCGTACAGCACGTCCTCGGGTGGAGAGAAAGACCACACCTAGCATCATGTTAGTGCCATGAAAGCCATGAGTTGGGGTTGTGGGGTATCTTACCTCCATTACGGTTCGGTTCTGTCTCAGAGCCAGCGCAACACACTTCTCGTCTTCGAAAGCCACTCGCCAAACAGCCTCCCCTTGGGCGATGAGCTCTCTGACCAGGTGACCAGTCTTGAGGTCCCAAATCTTTACTCTGCCGTCACTGCCGCCACTGACAACGCGCGTGTCATCGAACTGCAAGCTGGTCACGCTGTTATCGTGCGCAGCGAGTCGATGAATGGGACACATCTTCTCCAAAGACCACACACGTACAGATCCGTCAGAGCCGCCAGTTACCAAAGTGTCTCCGCGCATTTGCAATTGTCCGACAAGAGATGTGTGGCCCTGCAGAATGGCCAAGCATTCACTGCGTCTGGTTAGTAAAGCAGTCACCATGCCACAGTTTCTGTGTACTTACGCAGTTCTAGGGTCCCAAATCCGAACGTTGGTGTCCAAGCTGCCGGTAACCACCCTCTTGCCGTCGAAGGCAATGGCATAGATCTGACTGAAGTGACCCTGAAGTGTTTGAATGCATCTGCCCTCCGATATGCTCCAGACCTTGGCCATGGTGTCGTAGCTGCCTGACACAACGATGTCTCCCTTGATCTCCAAGCATCGGACGCTGGCGCCGTGGCCAACGAGGACATTTCTGCACAACCCGGTTCGAATATCCCACACTCGAAGCGTCGTATCGCGCGAGCCCGATATCGCCGTGTTAGCGTCAGACATTTTCAAACAGCGCACAGTTGACGTGTGACCCCGAAGAGTATGGAGGCAGGCGCTGCAGATGTTAGCGACATGATCGAAGTCGCGACTTGCATTTACTTACCCAGTTGCCAAGTTCCATACGCGCACATCACGGTCACATCCACCGCTAACCAGAATGTCCTCCCAGGGCACCATCGCCCAAACGCCCATGACATGACCTTGCAAGGTACGTTGGGCGTTGCCCTTTGTGTCAAAAACGTGAATCTTGGCGTTGTCAAGGGCCACGATGATGTACTTGGGCGTCAAGTGTAGGCTTGTAACAACACCTCCTTCTTGAGTAATATTCCTGGTTGTGCTGGTGCCGCCAGATCTCCAGGCTGCCTCAACAAGGTACCGTTGCTTGAAGTGCGACTTGTATGATCTCATTTTGGGCCGTGTATTTGAGCCATCGAGACTGCGTGAGCCAGAGGCATGTGCCGTCATAGGCAGAGCACCCGGGAAGCTGCTGCTGGCATACTCGTTGTCACCCCAAAGAGGTTGAGCGCCAGGCCGCGACGCGCTGCCCATAGGAACAGAAACCTCCGAAAGACGTCTGCCGTAGTCATGCTTCACACACAGGTTCTTCCACGTCATGTCGTCGCTCAGCAAGTCGCGCCATCTCCTTGATACTTGCGACGCACGAGCCAAGACTTTCGGATCATCAATGAATGAGAGAATCTGTTTGACACGGAATTAGCATAGAGTCCCATAGATATTCCACGTTGCCTTACGCGTAGACACAGCTCATCTGGGAGACTTGTGAAAGGATCCTTCTTGAGCAGCGGGCTGACGAATTGGTGGACGAAGCTCAGCTGTTGGCTTGTGCAAAGATTTAAAAGATCTGCGAGAAGTCTGGTTCGGTGCGGACCACCAGAGTTCTTGAAGTGATGGCGAACTTTAGCCAGGAAGAAATCCTCATCATCTGCAGCATGACTCCAGTCAAGCTCGTGGTGGGACGGGCCTGGAGAAGCTGCCGGAGTTGGAGGTGGTGGCGGCGAAGCAGTCAATTGTTGGTCAAAGTCGGCAGCAGGCGTCGTCATGCTAGGCGTCGGAGGGCCTCGCATGTGGCCAGGCCGCGCGGGCATCTTCTCCAATCTCGTCGAACTGCTAGACATTCCTCCGGTGTTGAGCGTCATGTCGTCGCTAAGCATGCTCCCCCTCCGTTCGGAAAAACTCAACGGACGGTTGTTGTATCCGGCCATGTCGGTGTGCAAGATGAGCCAGTTGTCCCCCAAAGTATCGAGACCCGGGTATTGTGCGAAATCAGAGCTCCAAGTAGCACAGCCCAGATAACCGAGAGGGCGTCGTACGGAGTTTAGGGGGTCGAGGCAGCGTCGGAGTGTGGAATCGATGCGGAGTGCTCATTAAACAGCGTTAACAGAAGATTTCCAAGCGGCTTGGATTGTCGTCAAAGCGTCCAGGCGAGGGAGTGCGTCAGAGTTTGGCGAGTGGGCAATGCGGTATGCGTCCAAGACGTGCGGCGATACAGGAGGCAAGCGGAGGCGCAGGGTACGGGTCGTCGCAACTCGCGGCAGGAGCGTGACGTATCGACGTGGTCTGGGTCGGCGATGTCGAATTTGCGAAGATGCAGTGATGGTTAAGATGCGCGTAATGGAGTGTGTGAGGGTGTAATGCAGCGACGGAATAAAGCGACAATGACGATATCGGCTGGAAACAATAAAGTCGGGCTTGTTCCGGGAAATGGACGAGACGAGTGTCGGTTTGTCTGGACTGGGAGTGACACTGAGGGACTGAAGTGCGGTATGGGGCGCGGGAGACGGAAGCTTAACAATCGGAGTTGACAAGCGGAAAGCGTGGGTCGCTGGGCCTGGCGCTGGTGTAATGGAATGTACAGGGCGTCTCAGTGGAAAGTGGATTTTTCTGTGATTGCGGTGGTATCGCTGGTTGACGCCCAAATGCCTTCACACCTCCCTGTGAAGGTGGCTGTCTCTGGATGGATTGTCGAAGGGCGGGAAGAAGAGGTGGGAGAGGAGGAGAAGGAGATGGGATTGGAGAGTCAAACCAACCGAGAGGTGTTGGTTGGATTTGGGGATTTGGGGAGTGGGAGGGAGGAAGAAGCGGAGGAGGAGGAGGAGGAGGATGGAAAGGAGATCAGATACTGGACGAGCACTGCGTAGCAAGTTGGGCAGATGAGGTAAGGAAAGGCCTGGGTGTGGTGCTAAGGTACGAACGGAGCAGGGAAGGTGAAGAGGACTCAGGACCAGCCAGTAATACGGATACCACCAAACGCAAGACCCAAGACCAGCGCGGGACTGGGGTGGAGGGGACGCTTTTTTGCAACAAGTGAGATGGATGTCCAGGGCAAAGAGTCAAGGCTTGCTTGGTCGCTGAAGCGCGAGGTACCCAATGTGCCAATGGAAAGATGATGCCCTGGGGCCGGGCAGGTAACAAAGGCGGGTTTTAGGCGGGAGAAGGCGAGATCAGAGACCACACTGCACCACCTAGGTACCTACCTACCACACCTCAGGCAGAAGGGGGAAAAGGGTGTGAGTGGATGGGTGGGTGGATGGATGGGCGGATGAATGAATGACGGGCGATGGAAGGGGGAACCAAGACGAAGAGCGCCGAAGAGGGCCTGGGCTTGCGGCTATGTGGGCGTGCCTGGAAGGGGCCCGGGTAATGGACGTTTGCTAGGTACCTTCAGACAGGTTAGGAGTAGCAGAGACCAGCCCAGAGGTAAGGTATTGGGAGAGGTAAGGTGGGTACGGCACTGTCGATGGAAAGGCAGAAGGTGCCACACGAGTCACAGTGCATTCGGCGGGGCCAGTTTCTCTTTGTGCTGCTTCCCGTCTTCCATCATTGGCATAGGTATTGAGGCCCGGGGGAGGCGAAGACAACGAGGAGGGGCGGAAGTGGAGGGACCGGGAGGCGAGAAAGGCTTACTTGCAAATGCTTGGGATACAGAGAGACTGAAGAGGTGCAGGCACATTTCATGCGAACGGGAACAACGTCGAAGCCTATGTCCGTACAGCAGTGTTCTCTTACCTCGTGGCGGTTTACAACATGCAGCCATACCAAGGACATGGCAGACACTGGCAACGCCTCCTAGGCCCAGGCGCTCGCTCGTGAATCCCAAACAAACAGATTTTTATTCTGGGGCTTCTCTAGCGCTGTTTCGTGCCTGTTACCCTCCACCACGGGACTGACATCTGACACCTCAGCTGGCCTGGCAATCTCGCTCTGAGCTGAACGAATGCAAGCCTACAAGCCAGGTGCCATCGGAACCATTCTGCGTGTCCGTCCAGAAGACGAGAACCTCTCCAAAGAACAAGAGAAAGAACAACGACTGGGACTGCTCAAGTATTCCGGGGTACGGACACCGCAGGATGGGCTCATGGGAGCAATGGCGGCGGCAGCCAAGCGCGGCCTGCAAACGGCCGGTCCCGGTTCGCTTCGCCAATCACCTACCTACTGGTACCTGCCTTTCCTCCAGCTGGGTTGGGTGGGAAATGGCTGCGCTTTCCGTTTGGTGATCAACTTCACTTACAAGTCCTGACTACGTGCCACCTTTTTCCGCACTACGGACCTTTCAAGGGAGACATGATCGGATGGACGTTTCCATCTTTCCCCATCACACCTTGGAGAACGACATCAGCGAGTGATAGTTATCTGACTATTGTGTCTATTGTCGAATGCGAATGCGGATGGAATGACGAACAATGCCGAGTCATCCATCCATCCATTGATCTCCCTGGTCTGCATCGACCAAGCCGTGTCTCTCTTCGCCCATCGACAGTCTCGAATAGCCGCTCTATCGAATGCGAACTCGTTATTTACAGTTGAGCCCCTACATTCCCACATTCCCCAGCTCCGAGGCCTGGGTTCGTTCTCTCTTTCCCAGCCCGCCTGTCATGACCAGCTGAGCAAAGTCTCACCTCTTCTTGTCTCGCTGCGAACACACACCACCACACACGCACATTACCTTCCTGGGGTCCTTGCAGGGTCCCTGTTAGCGGCGCTTACATTGCACTAGGTATCCTTCGTCTGCACCGCAGTGGGTATTCGTGACGTCGATCAGTTCTTTCAAATCTTTGGGGGCTGCCGAGTGCGAATTTGGCTCACTGCCCCGAGCCGCCTCCACCGCCGCCGCCGCCGCCGAACAAGAAGTTGGAACCGACTAGGGCAACCTCCAGCAATACTCTGTGCGGCTTGCCCATGGAGACATCACCACGATGGCGCAATAGTAAAGAGGACGGTCTCCGCTTCGGTTCGCCTCTCTCGACGCCAAACGGCGGCATCACGACACTTGCGCCATAATGGAATCCCCAGTGCATCTACCCCGGCCCTGACAGAGCCACAGCCGCGCCCCCGGCGTCACTGGATTCAGCGCTCATTATGTCTGCATTGTCTCGCACTCTATCTCTTTCGTGTGGTTCTGTCAGCAGAACTCACCTGTCAGTCAACGAACCAATTGTTTCTAACCCCAGCAGAGCTTGCTATACCTAACCTTACTTACTCTACAACTTCTCCTACAACCTTCCTCATTAGAACGTCGTCGTCACACCTTGACGAGAGTTTCGTGACTTGATGTTGTAACCTTCAAAAGACTGTCATCGGCATGGCTTGCACGCAACTCCGGGCTGGGCGCATTTACCAGCCGATGATCAGATCCTCTTCGTAAAGGTCAGGTACGCTTCGACAACGGCGAGGAAAGACGAACCTCCCACACCATACCCGCATCATCAGACGACGATTCCATCACTGCCTCTAGAAAACCATCGTTGCCGAGTAGCCCGCCACAGGTGCCTCGACCACCCAGCACAGGGGCGTCAACAAAACAACAACAATGGCATCTTTGGACCGTCGTAGTAACCCACCCGCCCTAGAATTCAACCATCGACGGGCACGAACGAAACAAGTCATGACCGTCGTATCGCGGATCCGGCACACTAAGTTTAGCTACCGGCCTCGGACAAGCCCGCTGCACCCACCGCCAGTGTTTTACCCCCCAAACCCCTCGAGTTCGTATGTACTTTGGTGTGCGTTGGTTACTCCTCATCGTCTTTCAAAGATACGAAAGTAAGATGGATGGGATGAGCAGTTGCAGACCATTATCCTCGAGCAAGCCACTGCAATAGTTTCAACTCATCACATACAGAGAGAAACCCAGCAAGCATGCCACAAAAAGAAATGGTCCACGGTCTATCCCGCTCAGCTCCGTTCCTTCGCGTGTATCTTCCCAGCTCCCTTTAAAAGGGCTTTGCAAACTTGCGACACTACCGGCTTGGATGCCTCAGATCTGCCCCAGTGATACAACACAGGGGTGCCATTCTCGATCCTGCGCCGCTCAGACCTGTCTAAGCCGACCCTTCCAAAACCGAACCCCGGGGAATCCTTCTCATTTGCAGAGACAAATAGGTTTTTTTTCCCTTTTCGAAGGAAAGAACATTTCGGACTGTCCAATGTTTGAGGAGGTTGACAATGCCAATGTCGGCCCCCAATGGGATGATCTGTGTCTGAAGAATTGCGACATCTGCATACTTCTCAATCTCTCTTCCCCTTTCTCACGCCCTCTCAATAAGCTCCAACCAGCCCCCTGTACAAGTGCCATTTTCAGCTTCTTGAATTGCAGATCCCCTTCGACTGTCGCAGATGCATGAAAACCGTCAATCTATATCTGGGCTGACATTCCCGTGTGAGAAGTTGATTAAAAAGCTTCCACATTCCGCTGTGTGCTGGCTCGTGTTCTAGATGGGATTGTGTCTCAGACTCAGAGCACCATCGCAGCTTCCAAGCCGGTCTCTCTGTCTTTTGAGCCTCAAGGAAGTGACTGGTCTGCTGATGAGCGCAACGCGCACACACACACGCTCACGAGCCAAGCGCCGTTAATTCCCATTACCCCTCCTTCTCGATTGTCCATGTTTCCTTGCGCCGTTGTGACGAAGCGCCACGAGCGCCTCGCTGGTGCCAAGGTCGTCGTACGAACTTGAAACACTCGGGACGGAAACCTAGCTCAACTCGGGCGCTTGGTGGACAAGGGTTTCCCTAGCTCTCCATGCGTCTGCTCTGCAGTAGTTTCCCTCACAACATGTTGCCGGTGCCTCGACGGCCTCCTTGGCGGGCGAATCGGTTTCTGGAAATGTCAATCAAGAAACTTTTCGACTTTTATACAGTTGCGGACGGCATCGATCGATCTAGTACAGAATCTTAAGATAACATAAAAAAGTTGATATATCCTTAT